CCTTYYTTTWYWKGCGCTGTACATACTAGCGCGTTTCAGACTCCTCCACAGGTCGTGGCAGTCCCTGCTACCGGTAGGCCAGCCGCCTGTTCCAAAATTCGCCCTACCGGTCCCCCTTACTTTAGGTTGCGGGGGGGAGCGGTGGTTTAAATATTCGCCATGTGCTGGAGCTGTAGGAGTCAGTTTAATTCTTACATTTTCTGAGTTAACTTTATCAGTTCAATTTCAACATTTTTTTGGTTAATTTTGTTTTTCATTCTTGGCTCTGTATAAAGTTTGGAAAGTTATTTTCGCTAAGGGAAGTACTATCCAAATTTTTAAAAAACCATGGAGTTAATCAAATTTTGACCTTTCAAAGTTCGTCTTTTGTCTAATTTTTATATATGACTTAGTAGAAATCTGAAAAAACTTATTTTCTACTGGAAGCGTTGTCCAAATTGTTTACTAATTCAGGGAGTTAGACGAAATTTGACTTTTTTGTAAATAATCATTTTCAAAATTTCGTATCTAGCTTTGCAAAAATTTTGAAATGACACTTCTCAAGAGGGAGTGCTGCCAAAATTTCTACAAATGTAAAGAGTTAGTTAAATTTTGTCTTAGCAAGAACTCAAATCTCATTCTAAGTTCTTATCTGACTTAGTATAAATCTAGAACGTCTACTTCTCTAAAGGAGACTCGGATGCTGCCAATTTTTTTGCTAATTCGGGAAGTTAGACAAAATTTGACTCTCTAGAGCTGATGATTGTTTCAGTTTTCATATTCGGACGAGTATAAATTATGAAAATGTATTTTTCATATGGAAAGCGTTGCCAATTTTTTTTTAGATTAAGGAGTTAGACCATATTTTAATAAGAGAGACTGAGATTCTGATGATCCACCCTGTATAGACCATATGTTGCCGAAATCTTCCTTTCTTTTGATACTTGCAGAAATATTAATTTAAATTTAGTTAGTAGGAAGAATATGAGTGAAGTGTGATATGAAAGTTGATTCTTCATACACTTACAGTTTAGTTTTTGACATTGACCTGTGCTGTGTTACAGGTTCTTTTTCGGCTATTTCGATTTAAGATTCGACTAGTGTCAGCTAATCCTACAAGGATCATCTTCTGTTATCACTAATAACAGGTCGGTTGCCGATTCGTCGGTTTGCGGCTCAACTCTAACTCATTCTCGCCACTCAACCTAAAAACCTTAGCCTTTGTGGTTTGAATTGTTTCTTTAGGTTTTTACCCGAACTTTATTGAATGACCATTTAAAAATGACTGAGTTTTATTTTGAAAGGTTGGACAAAGGTTGGGGTTTGTATGGATGAGGCAAGGGGTGTGAGCCCAGAGAGTGGTTGAAGTTGGATCTGTATAGTGCATGATTTTTTGATGTGACTGCAGGTATGATTGTGATTCAGACTCTGGACTAGACCTGCATGCGAGCACATATATATTTTTGAAGGAAGTCACACCGTGATTGTGAGAAGTGATTGTCTCATGTCTTGTAACCTTTTATATATATATATTTCAATTGTCCGTACAATTTACTACGATCGTACGAAAGGATTGAGCGAATTTGTGTTGAGAGAAGAAAAAAAATTCCCTTTGAATTTTGCTTTGTGAAAGTATTATAGTTGGACGTTAAAGTTCGTGGCGGTCGTCAAAGGCAAACCCCTTGACCTTTTTCCAGACCCTGGATGATGAAGTTCGTCTCCAGGGCCATAAGCGTTGACAGCCACAAAGGGTCGGAGCCCGTCAACCACCCACTCTCCGCAGGGTGCAGAAGAGGGTAGGCCTCTCAACCGCCTTACCGGTTGTTTAGCGTCGAAGGATTAATCTCTCAAGGCGCGTGTCAGGGAACACTTGAGTGTTGAAAGTGACCCTCGAGACCATTGAGAGCCACTTGATTATGGGTACTATATTGTACGCCATAATTGCGACGGCTTGCGTATTCATGCATGTCTAGTCGATATGAGGAAGCCTGCGTCCACGCAATATTTATTATGAGACCCGCGCGCGATGCCTAACCTATTCTTGTGTTAGAAAAGTTATGGGTTGGATACAAAGGGACTAGGAGTGTTTTGTGTGAGTAACTTGATTCTTTATTTTGGCGTGGTGTAACATGTGGTAAGATGGATCATCCTAGTCGACTGGCGTCGAGTCACGCTTGGGACTTCAGCCCCCGATAGAGGCATGCGACCGCGCGTACCCCCTATGCTATAACGTACGAGAAACGCCCTCGATTGGGCCACCTCTGCGATTGCAACTGAGCAACTTTCGCACGTGGATACGCCCGTCCAAGGGTGGTAATAGCCCCTTGGTCGGAGGTGACTTGTACCTCGCGTGGCCCTATCATGTCCTAGGGGTTCGCGAGAGGTATGGCTGGCGCACTCGGCCGGAGCGACGAAAGGCTCCACCGCGATAAAAAGTCTTGCACGAATCCTGCGTGACGCGTCCGGGAGGATCCCCCTGCGGGACCGATGCGTTCTACACCGCCCCTTGGCCAAGGGCCGGTAGAGCGACGGATGAACAATAACTTCGGGCCCCCAAATGTATGTAGGAGGCCCAAACTTTTCAATAATACTAAGGCCGGTACTAGTACGATGTTGATTTTTCCAACGGGTGCTAAGGGTTACTTTTAGGCTTGGCAAAATTCATTTTTTTGGTTCGTCAATTTTGCTTCGGATGTTCTCCCC